GAAGAAAGGAACTGAAGGGTTATGAGGAACAGACTCCTGGTATTTTGGGAGAAGCTTTAGGAATAGGGCTTGAGGAAGGAAGTAGGGAGAGGAGGTTCCATGGATAAACTTCAGCAAAATAGTTTCTCCCCTCACCCATTTTCTCTGTATTCAGGTGCACAGTCACTGTTACAAGTCAACTGCTCTATAGGGAGAAACCCCAGAGATCCCAGAACTGAGTCTGATTAAGAAAAAGCATTTGCAACAGTGAAAGGAAACAGGGTGTACTCGCTCAGTGATTCCAGATTCTGTTGCTTTGTTCCTTTGTTAACACACTTTTTGTCTTTCTTCAGCACAATTTTTTACTTTGTTAACCTATCTTCTTTCAGCTTCTGTAGCATGATATGCTGCTCCTCCAACCACAGGTCCTTTGACATACCAGTTCCTCCATCTAAAGTATTTCTATCCCCTTCCAAACACTATCTTGACTAATTTATCTTCTACTCATTTTTCCAATCTAGGTCAAGTGTCACTTTCTCAGGGAAACCTTGAAAACTCTAGTCCACAACAGATTCTTTCAAGCCTGTATCACAATTTGTAAATATACATGAAGAAATTATTTAGTATGGTTATTAATGTCTAGTTGAACCAATAGGTCCCAAGACCAATGAAAGCGGTGCCATTAGCTGGTTTGCTCACCACTGCCACCTCTGCCTCTGGAGCACAGCAAGTGCTCAACAAATATTGGGTTGGCCAAAAGGTTGTTCAGTTTTTTCTGTAAAATGGCTCTAGTAGCCCTTAGGTGTCTTTAACTTCATTCAAAACAATTTTGTTAGATTGTATGTGACAGCTGTCATATCAGTGTGCATTTTTTAAAAACATCAAAATTGATGAATTTTTGTGTAGCCATTTTATTATTGAAGATGGAAGAAAAAAAGCAACATTTTCATCATATTATGCTTTATTTCAAGAAAGGTAAAAACACAACTGAAACGCAAAAAAAGATTTGTGCAGTGTATGGAGAAGGCGCTGTGGCTGATCAAACATGTCAAAAGTGGTTTGCGAAGTTTCATGCTGGAGATTTCTTGCTGGACGATGTTCCATGGTTAGGTAGATCAGCTGAAGTTGATGGTAATCAAATTGAGACATTAATTGAGAACAGTCAATGTTATACCATGCGGGAGATAGCCGACATACTCAAAATATCCAAATCAAGCACTGAAAATCATTTACACCAGCTTGGTTATGTGAATCACTTTGATGTTTGGGTTCCACATAAGCAAAAAAAACCTTCTTCACCGTATTTCTACATGCGATTCTCTACTTAAATGTAATGAAAACGTTCGGGTTTTTTGTTTTGTTTTGTTTTGTTTTTTTGCGGTACGCCGGGCCTCTCACTGTTGTGGCCTCTCCCGTTGCAGAGCACAGGGTCCGGACGCGCAGGCTCAGCGGCCATGGCTCACAGACCCAGCCGCTCTGCGGCATGTGGGATCTTCCCGGACCGGGGCACAAACCCGTGTCCCCTGCATCGGCAGGCGGACTCTCAACCACTGCGCCATCAGGGAAGCCCAGGAAAACGTTCCATTTTTAAAACAAATTGTGATGGGCAATGAAAAGTGGATACTGTACAATAATGTGGAACGGAAGAGATCATGGGGCAAGTGAAATGAACCACCACCAACCACACCAAAGGCTGGTCTTCATCCGAAGGTGATGTCGTGTATATGGTGGGATTGGAAGGGAATCCTCTATTATGAGCTCCTTCCAAAAAAACCAAATGGTTAATTCCAACAAGTACTGCTCCCAGTTAGACCAACTGTAAGCATCACTCGATGAAAAGTGTCCAGAATTAGTCAACAGAAAATGCATAATCTTCCATCAGGATAACGCAAGACTGCATGTTTCTTTGATGGCCAGGCAAAAACTGTTAACAGCTTGGCTGGGAAGTTCTGATTCATCTGCCGTTTTCACCAGATATTGCACCTTCAGATTTCCATTTATTTTGGTCTTTACAAAATTCTCTTAATGGAAAAAATTTCAATTCCCTGGAAGACTGTAAAAGGCACCTGGAACAGTTCTTTGCTCAAAAAGATAAAAAGTTTTGGGAAGATGGAATTATGAAGTTGCCTGAAAAATGGCAGAAGATAGTGGAACAAAAGGATGACTATGTTGTTCAATGAAGACCTTGGTGAAAACAGAAGGCACTTTTTGGCCAACCCAGTATTTGCTGAACGAGGGAGGGAATGAATGAATGAATGAGTGAACAGCTAAGCAAATGACTAAGAATCCAGAGGCCTTGATGGGGTAAGAGTTGTATTATCTATGTCCGCTCATGGTGGAACCATGTGTAAATTCTTTCCTTTGATTGCTGTTGAACTTGTTCCTGTACTCACAAAACAAAGTTTAAAAAATATATATATCACTTTGAGCCTCCCGTTCCAGCTCCATGGCCTGGCCAGCTCCCTCCCTCCCTCCCCTGCAGTCCCCCCCCAAAACACACACACACACAGAGCAGCTGCAGGCAGCCACTGACTTCGGAGGCTGAGTCATCACTAGAGAATGGGAAGGGCAGCAGCAGCAGAGAATCCAAACCTCAAAGGTGGTATCACAAAGTACCTTTTCTCCAAGTTGGGGGCTCAGAGGGGCACCATCATGAGCAATGTTACCACTGTGAAAGAAGGTTGGGTTCAGATGAGGGGAGAATATATAAAAAACTGGAGGCCAAGATATTTCCTTTTGAAGACAGATGGCTCATTCATAGGATATAAAGAGAAACCCCAAGATGTGGATTTACCTTATCCCCTCAACAACTTTTCAGTAGCAAAATGCCAGTTAATGAAAACAGAACGACCAAAGACAAACGTTTATTATCAGATGTCTCCAGTGGACCACTGTTAATAGAACATTTCATGTAGACACTCTAGAGGAAAGGGAAGAATGGACAGAAGCTATCCAAGCTGTGGCAGACAGACTCCAGAGGCAAGAAGAGGAGAGAATGAATTGCAGTCCAACTTCACAAATTGATAATATAGAAGAGGAAGAGATGGATGTTTCTACAAACCATCATAAAAGAAAGGTAGAAAACAACATCTTACTCCCCTCCTCAGCACAACATTTATATGTGTGGAAGAAATATGTTAACAACTGCCATTTGCAAAAACTGTTAGCCAATTATTTATGATATGCTATTATATTGGTGTGGATGGTTTTTAATCAGGTGAATCTTAAACCTGTCATTGTTTAAGACTGAATAATTGAAACATCACTTTATTTCAGTGTTTCAGCAATTAGCACTGAATGTTGAAAGGGCTTGTTAGGAAGTTGTGATTGATGTGCCGTCATACTACTTTATATAATTTGCATTTTTCCCTTATTGTTTTAATACTATTTGAGAAACTTGGAAATAAAGTGTTTTCCCTAATGATATGGTCCTTTTCTATTTACCATTCTATGTTCTACTGAAAGCAGAAGCTGAAATGGCTCTGGTGTACTTCATGCTTGGTGCCCCAGCCTCACTAAT